ACATGATTTGCGAGCTCACGGGTGAAGTGTAGATATTTCTGGCTTTACTTACTTCCAAGTAACTACGCGGATCACATGAATATAATTTCTAGTCTCCATTGTATTTTTGTCTTCGAATTTTAGCACTAACTTAATTCTAATGTACCTTCTCTTGCCTTTCTTCGTACCACGTTATGTATCATTTTCTTTTTTAATATAAATTAAAGTGAAGTTAGTTCTTATTGTTTTTGAAACGGTTGGATGAATTCTTTGAACTTTTTTCTCGGTTAGATGAATTCTCTAAACGTTTTTCTCGTTGACTTATGCAAAAGTGAACGATATGCGTTCCCGAGCTCTCAGATGAATAGCACTAAGGAAATGAATATTGGGACTCTAACTAAGTTAAAACTTTATATTTCAGTTTCAAAACTGAGTTATTTGCAAGTTATTCTTGGACTTCTTGTAAGCTGCTTGATTTTTGTTTTTTGTTTTTTTGTGTGTGTGCGTAATATTTTTGTGTGTTATTTTTAGTGTGTGTTTTTGTGTGTGTTAGTGTGCATGTAATAGGAGTAGGTAGGCTTTTCCTATCCCACAATCAATATTCCCCCACTTCTCTTGATCAAGCGGATATACTCACCCCATGTTTCTTATTTAGGAAGGTGTCCCCGGCTCTGTCCTTTTCCTTCTCTCTGGTCTCCGAAGTCGTGATTCTTTTGTGATGTGTGGCGTCTGTGACAACGCCTCTTCATTCTGAAGGTACCGGGTTAACAATTTTCTCTTTGCTGTTCCCGACTGGTAGTTAGGAGCACTGTGACGTCGCCCCCCCCCCCTGGTCGCAGCGTCGACTCTGTCGTTCGATCTCGTTCGCGGCTCCAAGTGTGACGTTCTAACCCTTTGGTTAGATGAATACCAGCCTCGCCGTTCCCAACTCGCTTCCAACGCCTGGTTACTAGGGTAACTGCACTGATCTCCGGTCTGCCTACCCACGTTGTGATTAGATCTTAGACAGACGGGATCAAACAGGGATTGGGGCCGTATGCCAGCTGGGTTCAACGGGGGTGATAACATACAAGTAAAAGAAAAACTCACGAGGCCAAAGATTATTGAAAAAAAAGGGTAACAACCTTTTATATCTAAATGTTCGTTACACAAAATTGTTCCTACCTCCCGACCCGTTCTATGGACTGTGGCACCAAGCTTCTACTATACAACTTTAAGACTTCGAGTTGCTTGTTCTCTAGAAATTTGCATTTCGGGGTGTGGTTTGGTTTCGACACTGGGCGCTGATCTGTGCCAGTCGTTCACGGCTGATTTCCCTTGCCGTCAGTGCGCGAATTAACTTCTCTTCTGCTTCGGGTGGACGAATTTATTCACTTCGACTTGAGTTTGGAAGAATTTCTCTTCATAGGCTTGGTGTGATTCCACCTTCTCCTAGTCACAACTGCAAGTTAACTTCTTCTTCGTCCGAGGCGCAAACCCAACTCCAACTGCAACTTCTCTGCCTGTCCGGCCTGCAACTCTTCTGCCTGTCCGGCCTGCAACTTTAGCTTCTCTTCGACTTTCGGGCTGCAGCTCCCACTCTTCTTAGGCTTTCGGGCAATTTTCTTCCCTTCGACTTGGGCTGGACGAATTTCTTCACTTCGACTTGGGTTGGACGAATTTCTTATTGACGCCGTAACAAACTGGGGTGGGTCTGTCGGCGCCAGGGTTTTCTTGATAATTCCAAAAGTCGCATTATTTCTGATTTCCCATTATCGCTCTTACTTTCACTCCTACTTCCTTACAGTGCCTCTGGGGGGAGGCGCATACCCGCTTCCCCTGGTCTCTCGTATGTCAGGTGACCGCTCTCGACCAATGGGGTCCTGGTCAACCAAATATAACAATTTCTATTTTTCCGTGGATTTCGGTCAGGTACTTTGACCTGGATATCTTTTGACACCTGTTTTGTTTTAGTTTTACGCGTGTTTTGCTTATGGCTGGGTTTTGTACTATCTATTTTTCTTTCTCTTTCTTTTTATTATTTTTTTTTCTTCCTTTTTTCTTTCTTTCGGATCGCCTAAATACAATTAGAGAATTATTCTCAAAACTCAATTATTCTTCGTCTCTAAATAACTATCAACTGGTTAACAAACCGAATAAAAATAAATCATATTTTTATGAATATCTCTTTTCAGTTTTCTAATAATGCAGGGTGCCACAGCATGAACTGTTGCGCAGCATTTTTAGCGGCTGCTCTGATCAAGAGTTTTAGAATATCAGGGTAGATATAGTGCCATGTCATGTTCATGGAAGGGTGTCCCTGCACGCACCTCCGGTGGGCACCTCTAAGGTCACATTATATTGCACGCTGCACTAGCTCTTTTCTGCCCCTGTCTCATATGATTATCGTCTGCTACTTTTATTCCAGTTCTTCTTATTTTCAATACAACATGACAACAAACGATCAAAAAGTAAACCTAAATCAGCACTAAAAATCTCCTAAACCCTTTAACATTACATTATTTAACATCAGTGGCATTGGAACCAATTTCTGCAGTGTGGAATCGTTCCTCATTGAGAAGCCTCCTGATATACTGGTTCTCTGCAAACCCTTAACTTTTCAATTAATCAATCCCTTACACAAATGGTTGATTTTACCGCACGATTCCTCAATAACCCTGACGGCAACGCTTCCCTTCACGAGTCCATCCTCGAGTATTGTCGTGTCACGTAGCTCTGCCCTCATAGCAAATCTGACCATGTTGATGTGTCTGTCAACATCTCTTTCTACTCCACCCCCAGAAAAAAAATCTTACCAACAGAACATCTAATTTTATCAACGAGATGAGTGAGACTCGTTCCTTGATTCCTTCGCGATGTCGCATGGAATATAGTCTTTAATCTCCTCGTTTAAGAATGCGATTCCGTGGTATCCTTCTTTGTAAAAGCAGGAATCTAGGGCTTTCATCACCGCATTGAAATGTAAGGTTAAATCCCGCTCATCCCCTTGGTTCGCTGCTGCTTGCAGAGTTGCCATTGCCCATGGGAATCACTTTTTCTGCTTGTACAGTACTGACATGTCAAATTGCAGCAGACTTCTCTTTGTCTCAGCCCGTAATGTTTGCAACGTATCTTTATTGAAGCAAAGTTACTATTTGCTGATAGAATGAAACAACGTAATGCCCCTCGCAAATTCGGCTCCAAAGATTAATGGTGTCTCTGCAAGAGCGTACTCTTAAACAGCAAACCCACAATGACACTTTTATTCAAACAATTTGTGTTCCTGCCTTCCTCAGCTGATAAGGCCGAGTGTTTGCTCGAAAATTCTCATACAATTCAACGTTCGACTCATCCACTGTACCGACACCCGATTTCTCCCCTAGAACTGAGGCTCTGTTGAGCGAGCTGCACATAACCCATTCGTTGATATTGGGCCTCATCTCTAAATTAGACTTCCATAAAGCTAGAGTTGGGGAGGTATACCTGCCATTGTCCTGAAGAAATGTTGAAAGTCTTCATTTATTGTACCTGTCATTAATAACTCTGGCGTCTATTCTGAACCATCTAACTACCGTCATATCAGTCTTCTATCACTCTTCGGCAGACTCTTTGAAGCTTTAATCAATGCGGAAGTGGTTAAGCATTTTACATGCCATGATTTTCTCTCTGACAAGCAATATGGTATCCGCTTTGACCGATTTAAAAATGATGTGCTCAGGGCCATAACTGATTTTTATTACAATAATGGAGATGATCATGCTGTGAATCTAAATATCTATAAAGTGTTTGATATATTTGAAATAAAGTTGTTACATTTCATATTCGCGGACGAAAAGAAAGCATTAATTGTCTACGCGTTTTCATTAAATGTAAGGGAAAACAGCGTTTATGAGAAATAACAAAGAGACAAAAATTTTAAACTATGAGCCAGTTTTGAGGCTTTGCTGTCGCAAAGACATCCAAATAGGATTCATGCCAATTGTCTGTTGGCATTGCAATGCCAAAAAAGGCCTGGAGAGACTGCAGGTTTGTGTTGTTCAGACGGTAAGGTGCATTTGTCGCCTTTTTAAAAGCTACCCGATCTGTTGAAAGCTCCGGAGGGTTCTAGTCCAGACTCCAAACATCTCCTCAGAAAAATCAGACAGTATAATTGTGCCTTAAGGATGACCTCTTTTGGTGGTAATGCCTTCCGCTAAGTCGGCTGGAATCACGCCTTCAAGGTTCAAGGTCAGGTTTACCACTGTATTGGGTCTCTTTTGCCACAAACTTCAACTGACTCGGCCTTTCTACAAATATACTTCATAGCTGACTACAATCAATAGGCAGATGCCCGCATGGGCATTATTCCCGAGAACGATACAGACCAGGACAATCATCCTCGCAGGGATATCATAATTAGTCCCAAAAAAATCATCCACGATACAAACAGCTATGTCCGCAGTTTTAAGTATGCTCTCGAAAATAACACTTCTTCTGATTTCATTATTGTATTTGATGCTGACAAACAGCTTCAGGGAGAGCACGAACGTCGTTAAAATGCTCCCGCAAGTAACGAAGTTTTCGTCATTGTCAACGGTGATCAGCACAACAGACGTGACATTGTTATCGAATCACGCGGCAGTAGGCTCGGAAGAATCAATGATAGGCACCGGTCCTACGATACACTGCAATACTCAAACCTCTTGCCTAATGGAGAAGATGGGTACCAATTTGGCATTCTGTAAAATGGATCCACCTTAAAAACATTGTCTTGCAGGGCTTTCTACGCCTACCTATTGATGGTACATGAGGGTGCATTCAATCATCTTCATCGAAGATGGCAACTTTTCCATCTATTCATTGTAGACATAACTGTTAAGTTGGAATCCGAAGGAATCTGTTACATCAGACTGAATCAGACCAAGTTGCGCTGCGACTCTTACATTCACAGCCGTGATGCTTTACGAAATGACGCTGATCCACGCAATATAGGCAAGATGTACATACTACCTGCAACGTTCACAGGCAGTTCAAAATACATGAACGTGAGGACGCAAGACGCGATGTCATACGTTTGTAAGTACGGCCGACGTGACCTATCCATATCTTTCACGTGTAACACAAAATGGTACGCAATTGCTAAAGAACATATGCCAGGGCAATCGGCTGACGACCGTGTAGACCTCATTGCGCGCGTTTGCTATCTGAAGTTGGGAAAGCTAATGGATTTGATTTCAAAGAGTCAGGTTTTTGGGGCTGTTTGCTGTCACATGAACACTATTGAGTGGCAGAAACGCGGCCAGCGTCACGCACATATAATAATTTGGCTGTGCGACAAGATTGGGGGCACAGAAATCGATCATCTTATTTCTGCTGAAATTCCTTATCCGTCGGCTGACTCTGAATTGTACGAAACATTGACAACCAACATGATTCATGGTCCCTGCGGGTCGCATTGCAATTACACCAGCTGTCCCATCAGCGACGGCAAATGCACCCGGCAGTACCCACGAGATTTCGTGAGCGAAACCATTACAGGGAGCGATGGTTATCCACTGTACCGTCGAAGGAGTTCCGCTGAGGGTGGATTTACAGCCGTGGTAAAGGGCCACCAAGTGGATAACAGATGGGTAGCGCCATACTCTCCGTTGCAAACAAAAGCGTTCAATGCGCACATCAATGTCGAATATTGACATTCTGTTCACTCCATCAAGTATGTATGTAAGTACATCAACAAAGGGAATGATGCTGCAATGTATTGTATTAGGCAGGACGCGTCATCCGAAGCACAGAGGGCCCTTGGCACATATTCAGCTTCCCCCTTCACGAACGCTTCCCAGCAATCGTCCAGCTTGCTGTGCACCTAGAAAACGACGAACTTAATTATTTTTCTGCGGATACTTATGACTGCTTTTGCACGATGTTAGTAGTCCAACGTGCTACTATAACTTACAGACGGTTAATTGAGTTTCTGTGAGGCCTGCGTCCGTCTCGGCTTTTTGGAAAACGACAGCAAGTTGGTTGCCACAATGGCTGAGGGAGCTCATTTAAAATTGCTCTCTGCTTTAGGCCACCTCTTCAACATAATTTACAAATAGGGTTTTCCTCAATAGGAATTTAAAGCAGTTAATTTTTGAAATCTACCCTGCAATCTGCGATGTTAAATTTTCTATTGCAACCAACAAATTAGCATACATGTAGAATAGCATTTGCGGTATCTACGGATGTGAATTTGCAGGGACCTCAGTTTTCTTGCATGGAAAGGAAAAATGGAATAGGGATTTTCTAAGGACTTCATTGTAGACCATATTTTCAGCTTTTTGTGAGGGTGAATAAAGGAACACATCATCGCGCCTGCCGAGTCGAGAGCAGGTTATTTAAATTTGGCCATATGAGAAGCACTGCTCTTCTAAGTACACACCAGTGACAGACAGTGTTTGTCCTTGGGACATATTGATTGTCATAGCAAAACAGGGTGCGAATGGGAATGGCGATCTTCTGAAAGTGAAGGGTACATCGGCATCTGATTTATACAAATGCATATTTGGGATACGCCCTTGTTCCCCTTTACCGCATTACTGTGAACGCATCGCCAACTAATGTATAGTTACAAGCATCAATTGTCCCTCCTCACATCACCATACTATATGCAGAGAAATGAATGATCCCGACCAGATTACGGGCCCTTTCAAAAATGCGTGCGTAACCCCTTCGTGCAGCAAAAATCGATAAAAATCGACCCTGCCATCAGCTGTCAGTTTTTGACTTCTTTCCCCCACGGCCAGGCCTGCAATTAACGTCAAATATCGGTTCAACTCCCGACATTTACGGCGTCAATTCGTAACGGAGACAGATTTTCAATTTAGACTAAGGCTTTCAAAAAATTGGTAAATTGGTTGGTACTCGGGTATTTGGGCGGATTACATTCTAAAACTTCGGGCGTTGTTTACAATTCAACCAGAAATTCCTACGCGGCCCAATTAGAAGTGCCTTGCATAGAATGCCGTGTGACCCTGTCGTGTCTCAAAAATCGATACAAACCACCGTGTTGACCATGCCCTCAGCAATCCATTTCCGACTTCTTTAAACTTTGTTATTCCTCCCAGGCCGCATCCCAAATCCGATTTTTCAATTTACGTCATTGTGTCATACCGGAGCCCGATTTTTTTATTTGGGAAACAAACTTTGTAAAAAATAGACGTTTAACTCACAGGTGATACGGATTTTGGGGGTTTTAAGTCGAATATCTCGCCTGCACTACGTGGTCCGGTACATCTAAGCTTTTCATCTCATTTTGGACTCTGTTCAGTTGACTTTGCGTTGCTAAACACTTTTGAGCTCTTTTTATTTGAACTGAAAATCGGATCAATGTATGGTTTCCAAAGTACCGGGTTAACAAAACAAGAGCAACAACAACCCCGCCCAAATTGTATGACCTGTCTCAATATTTCAGGAAACTTGGTTGGGTGTGAAAAAGTATTTATTTTTAACATTGTTTTTTCATTCGGTTTTTCCAGTTACGAGTTCTTTTTTAAAGCTGATCGTTTTGTGTTCATTTTGTTTGGTTCTTTTTTCGTAACAGATTAAATGTTTAGCATAGAGCTTAGAAAAAATTCGCAGTGTTGGATAGGCAAGACGTAAGGCATGTAGCAACATCAGCACGGCAAATGCACTCCTTTAAATGCAAGGAAAGGAAAATATATTTTAAGTCAATCGATAGCGATTGCTGTATGTGTCGTACGATTTTTGAAACAAGCACGGGTAACGCCAGGCCATGCTGAAAATGTAGAAAAAGAACTGACCAGTAAAGTAACAACAACAGAATGCTTAAAAGAATTCAAATTACTCAAATCTCTTGAAAGTATTTCTAAATTAAAAAAGAACAATATAGAATACACAATTTTCAAAGCAAAAATTTTCGCTCTTAATTTTTCTTATTCTGATTAGAGCATTCCTCATCAAATCTTTTTTAATATCGCCTTTCTATTTCTGTTTCTTATTCAGATTTCTCCATTATTTATCTCCTATTTGTTTTCCCTTAAATTTACTTATGCTAATGATACAAAATACTTATCTGAGCATAATGAAATAGTTATTTTGCATATATCTAAAAGCAGTATCCGTTTCTTGTTTCAATCATTAAAAAGACAGATCAATTACACACACACACACACACACACATAAACACACAAAGAAACAGACAAACACACACACAGATATATGTATATATATATATATATATATATATATATATATATATATATCGAAAGCAACACACACACACACACACACACACACACACACACACACACACACACACATATATATATATATATATATATATATATATATATATATTGAAAACCTGTATTTTTGAACAGGAATATATTTGTATATGCTTTGGGCATTCATTATGTTAACATAACACAAACAATTTTCTCAAAATATACATGCGCATGCGTATTACACATAATTACACATTATATGTTCTCTTCATTAAAAAAAAAAAAAAAGACGTGGACATATATATTTATTATTTATCATTCATTGTTATTTTTTATCATTCATCGTTATTTTTTATAACAAATCCATCTAGCGGGGATGGGAAGAAGACGGGGTCCTGTATTCAGCAACCATATATAAAATATTGTTATCCTTTTTTTAACACATTTGAACTTTTCGAGTTATTATTTTATTTTATTTTACATATACTTGTGCGATATTACCTTTATTCGATCTCGACTTGCATTACGGCCCGGCGACTGACTGATTTCGTCTGCCTAAGATCAATTCACAACGTGGATAGGTTAGACTGGAAATCAAAGCGGTTACTTCGGTAACCAGACGTTGGAGGCGAGCTGAGAACGACAAGGCTGATACCGAATCTAACCAGATTCCCATTCGAATCAGCAAAAGGTTAGAACGTCACATTTGGGGCCGCGACCAATACCAAGCCAGTTGGTCGTCACAGGACAGGATATCACGACAGACGCAGCCAGGCAGACGTCACATTTGGCGCAGCAACACCGGGGTGGGGGGCGTCACATAATTGCACTTTCCTGAGAAGATCATTAGGAAGTAGGGCTTGGAAAACTTAACCTTCACTGGGTAGATCGTGGACAAAATTGATACTCGTAGGCCCACCGGCTAACTTAATTAACGGACTACTGCTAATCGATTACAAATCAGGAGCGACAGTTTTGACAATGTGCTAGATAATGGTAAGTCTCGCAAGCATTAGAATATTGTGTAGAGCCATAAGCCACGTCCTGATGAGGCTTGCTATATAATACAATTCACATACTAATATTTATTCCCGTCGTCAATGTCGTAATTTGATTTGTTTGGTATATTCTGTAAGTTTTATTTCTTAATTGATGCTTTTTTTTAAAAGACATATATCTTTTGATAAGCTTATCTTGGGTACCAATTACTTTTCACTTCACTTTTTTAAACTACACAGAAATGTTATAATCTATATTTGTTTTTTTTTGTTTTGTTCTTTTTTCAAATTTGCTCCACTTTCACATAGTTAAACTGAATAAAGTATAAACTCCTTCATTTACATTCGCTTAATCTGTATAAATGTTTATATATCGATAATTTCAATTAGATTTGTAATCCCATAAAAGTTTTTCAAAAGTATTAAGAAGATTTTTATGTACTAATATGCCCGGCGTGGCATGTACATTTATCAATTATGAGACAATTAAAACTTAAATGTTTCTGAATAATATTTTAGCTCAGTGAAATTACTGCTATATTTTAGTAGGAGAAATATAGATATTTTTAGATTATTGTTTCTTCCAATAGTTATAGTAGAATTAATTTGAACAAGCTAATATAAGGATTTAAATATTGTGTCTACGAACATATTTGAACTCAAATAATGATAATAATTCATCAAATAAAATCAGGTGTTTACTATCTACCCTCAAAAAATTAAATTATTTGAACTCATAACGAGAGCACGGTACTGGTTACGCCATATGCATCTATCCATTATTCATTTTATTATAAAAGTCAATTTTTAGGTTTTGAATATTGAACGTTTACATGTTGTTTGCTATATTTACTGACAAAATGTTAACTATATTCGTAAATCAATATGGCTTCCTTTGTTTTCTGCATTGCCTTCTCAATTGAACTACATGACTGTTTCATCACATCTTTGCTCAAATTGTACCACAACGTCATAAGATGTCCGAAACAGATAGGTGAAACATGACTCTCCAATATAGCCCATATAGAAAAATAAATATGATTAGTACGAAGACTTGATGGCGACCAAAGTGATTTGTCCAAAATTCCACCGAAATAATTCTTGCACTAGTTTCGCGTGTCTGCTGAAACAATGTCTGAGACAGCAATTTTTAAATGTAACTTACAACCAGGGAAACACATCTATCACCAACATTTACTAGTAAACATTGCCATTTAGTTTCACTCCTTCAATTTAGCACCAAAGACTGTTCCGAAAGGTTCAGTAGCAACAACAGCCAAAGTCAGAACACATGTCTTCCACTGTAAAAAAAAAAAAACTAACCTCGTCCGCTGAAACGAAGAAATAGTCTGCTGCACGTCCCATCTCCAATATTTTCTTCATATGTCAAGCTGATTCTGCTTGGAGGAACTTGAGAACTCTTGTTGTTGAATATTGTATGGTTTCAACCCTAAATCCTCTTACACAATC